AATTTCGGAACGCAGCCATTATAAGAGCAGAAGGATGGCATATATGATACATGCCATCCTTCTGCTATTCTGGTATATTAAGTTGCGTTCCAAGACGTTCTTTTTAAGAAAATTTTATTCGATACTCTATAGTATATGTAACGTGAATTATAGGTATTGAGTAAAATTTTCTTCAAAAAAGAACGTTTTGAAATGCAACCTTGGTATTAACTAAAGCCAGTGGCACACGGTGTTTGTTTTCATGCTGAATTGTTTGCTGGGTAGAAATACTCTGATTGGTTCTGATTGATGCATTTCTGAAGATGGATGGAAATGCACCAATCAAAACAGTATATTTCCATCCAGCAAGCAATCCAGCACGAAAACAAGCACCGTGTGCCGCTGGCTTAAGTTAAGCCAGCGGCACATGATGTTTTTTTTGGTTGCATTCCGTTTCACGCATTATGCGCGCTTTCGTACAATATACGTAACATGAACTGTAGATAAACGCACGCATATACATGAAACGGAACGCGGTCTTTGTTTTCATACTGGATTGCTTGCTGGATGAAAATACTCTGTTTTGATTGGTATATTTTCATCCATCTTCAGAAATGCATCAATCAGAACAGAATATTTACCGACACGTAGTACAACTCAACAATAATATCAGACACTTTTATTTTTTAAATAGAATGATTCAATGGATGGTCAACCGCCTTATCACTTATATTAAAATACAGACAAAATTCAATACGGCGCTTTAACTTCGGTAAAAATGACGATAGCGAAATGATGCAAGAAGCATTTTAAGGCTTGAAGTCTTTACTTTTAGAGCATATTAAATTCATAATGTTACTATTGCTTGCTACTACAGCATGTCAAATTAAATAAGACATAGCGAGCATCCAACTTTCAATCTTTCAATTATTTTCACATTTAATACAAATTTTATAAAAAATGTGGTATTTATGTTAAAAAAAAAACTGTAAACTTTTTATTCACTTTTTAACGAACTTTGTGTGCCAATTTGTTAGTAGAAATAAGCTTACTTCATGCCTGGAAATGTACTTGAAGAATAAACTGTAAGCTGTAAATATTACTTTGAAAAAAATCGCATTACTATTATTTTTACAATAGAGAGGAGTAAGAAATAGATAAGATTTGTAAAGATACACAACATTATTTTTAAGTAGTAAAAATTTAATATTTTATCAGAACTTGCTACAAAAATTTGTCGTTTACTTTCGTGTTAATTTGTTTCTTTACGGAAATTTTTTAATCTAAATTATACAAAAAACTACTTGTTATCACAAAAAATATTGCAAGAATAAATATAGTACAGAATATTATAGGTATCTAAAATCATTTCCTATAATAAAAAACAAATTCAAATGAAATATCAATAAATATATCTATAACAAATGTGTTATACATATATATAATATGTTACATTATATTTTATAATGGTGTTTGTCCTTTGTATGCAAAAAAAATTCAAGTTGCAAACCTTTAGTTTGTATCGGATACAGATAGTATAAAGCAATATTTTTCGTGGGTATTTTTTATATATAATTCATAGGAATCATTTGTCACAAAATGTATTCAAGAATTTAATCTATAAGATATATGCAGTCTGCTGCTAACTAATACATAACTTTTTCCTTCTTCCTAAAAAATGTAGAAAAAATTATGGTGATAATTGTCACAACCAAGTAGGACATGCGTTGTGAAAAAAAGATACGACACTCTACGTATATTAAACACAAATATTAAATAAAATTAAACAATTTACTTCATCTCTTGTATCTTGCGTTTCATTAAGTCGTATTAGAAATGAAAGGCTACAATTACAAAAGATATCTCCTTTATGGACTGCTTTATCAATAATCTATATGAATAAACATAATTAAATAATAATTATAATAATAACTAACATATAATCGTGTGATAATAATATTAGATAATAAAGATAAGCATAAGTAATATTAATTTATGTATAAAATCGTGGTGGTATTATCATAATTCCCTTAGGGGGAGAAAGGAGGAGTAACAGCAAATTGCTCCAAGAATTCATGGCGACCATGTTTTTGATAGAAATATGGATGACTCACGATGATATTAGCTGTGTTTATCCGAATGGGGATTGTTACTAGAATTATTCACTAATTCGATAGATGCCATCGTAGAGTGCGAATGATGGGACAGTGGTGAAGTGGTAAGGTTATGTCGAGGATTAGTATTGTGGAGGCTATGCAGGTAAGAGCGCTGGACGGGCTTGTGTTGACCGAGTTGGAGCAGGGCTTCTTGTATGGTAAACCACTTTCGCTTCCGACCGATAGCGCGTGAGTCTTCCCACTCCGGCAGTTCTTCGGTCACTCGCATAACCCACACTTGCGTTCTGTGTTTGTGTTCCACATTCTGTAAAAATGGATTGATTTGGTAGACCACATAAGGCTATAACACAATACTCATACATTGAGTAAGAGGGATAAGGGAGAGAGAATGATAAATATAGATAAGAAAGGAAAAAAGAAGAGAGAAGTGCTGACCAAAAGATACACAAGATTCCAATGATAACGTCTTCCATTTCTAACTAAGATATTTTAGTTCAGGTATATTGTATTTACATATTTTCATATCATGACCGTTAGTCTTGAGAAGAATCAGCAACTCAGCCATGTTGAAGCTCCTGATTCCACTACTGTGAAACTCTGGATTAATGTCAAAAACTAGAAAACACATTGCAAAAATTCTTGTTGTATTTTCAAATAAAAAGAACACTTAAGATCATTTGATAGTCTTAAAATTAATATAGCAACCTTTCTCTTTAAACTCTACCTATCTCTACCTTTCTCTACCTTCGCTCATGATTTTATCATGTTAATTTTAAGATTATATGTTAACTGAAGGAAAAGAACAATTTCCCGAGCATTTTATATGCTTAAGCAATCTTAAGTGTTCTTTCATACAAATATCTTTTTATTTGAAAATGGCACATATGAATTTTTGTCATAAGTTTTCTCATTTTTGATATCATCGATCCAAGAGTCCATAGTAGTGGGATCAGAAGCCTTAAATGCAATGATAATATACATGGTAAATGCATACATGCACCTGTTACTATTACATTTAGGGTTAATTGTTCCAACTTTTTGGTAAGTTAACAGTTAAACTATGTTTGTTTAATTTGAAGGATAAACAAAAGTAGATTTAACCATTATTTAGTTCAAGAGGTTGGAAAAATCAGCCCTTAATGCAACTGAGTTGCTAATTTTTCTCAAAATCAGTAATTATAATATAAAAAGTTATGGTCCTGTATAGCACTGCAATTTAAGAAGAGGTTTGTTTGTTCTCAAAGAAAATTTACTGGAGTACATTAGTGCGATAAATTAGAGTGAAACAAAATATATTTATTTCAATTTAATTTAACGCATAGTGTACACCATTCAGAAAGTTTTTTAAAACATATCTAAAGAAAAAGAAGAATGTAATAATATCTGTGTGTATATGTGTGTAGCATACATCACGAGTTATAACCTCAAAAGTGCCAAGGCAACGGCCTAATTGTCCTAAAACGCCAGCCTCCTCTCGGACCTCACGAAGAGCCGTGACCGCTGGTTCCTCCTCCGGTTCGACACCACCACCAGGTACTATCCAACTGTCAGGTTTCCGACTGGATGTAACTAATAGTACCTACAATTTACATTACGATTAGAAACCGGTATGTGACCCCAGACCCGTTCGTGACTGTACTTGTCGGTTTCAATGAAACCAAGTCCAGTTGACCGGGGATCAGCTTTTAACAAGGGAGAAAAATGCAAAAAAAAAGAACAAGAAAAACATTAATTTCGAGCGTGCAAGTAGCCTGACACCGGCAAAATATAGGGGGCTGCCATCTGCTGGCTTACCTCGTCCTCGAGATCGTTCTTCACGCAGATGCAAGCAGCTCTGCGCCTGTAACCCTCCGAATCATAGATGCGGGTCGAATTCGCTTTCTCTTTCACCATGTTGTACCGTTGGACACCGTTGTCTCAGACCATCCCGTGTATTCATAAATATTCGTCAAACGGCCGGACAGGCCAATCTGTACACCCGCGTCGTCCCAATGTTGTTCGCAACCGACATGTTACCGACATCGAGTCCACTCTGCCGTACGTACGTGCGTGCGTGCGTGCGTGCGTGGGAACGCCGAATTCACATAAACCGTGACGCGCCTGCTTCCGACTGACGACGAGACGCGTCTGCCGTGCCGATGTTACGTCGTCCTTATAAAGTGGCAAGTCGACCGGAAACCCGATCCACGCCAGCCGCTCGTTATAACCTCAAAATTTCCGAAGCCACCGCGCCAACCAGCCGCAAGACGCCCCCACCACTGCATCGTGTCGCGACCGCGAACTCGAGTCCCTTCTCTTTCGTTCCCGTGTGAAAACGTTCCTAAACACATTCGTATGTTACTCACGCAATAAGCGGAGCTACGCGTCAACCAATTAACTTGCCGCTCTTCCGAAGACGATGGTGAAAGCCGGGCGTCGATTGGCTGTCGCGTCGTTTCTTATCGTACAGTGGCTTGTACCACGTGTGTCATGCTTTGTTTAAAAAACAGGAAGAAGGGATCAAAAAGCACAAAACGTAGAGTTAATCGAATAATATAAACTTAATATAAATCTAATGTAACAATATAAACTTAATATGTAATATATTATAATTGCTTAAAGCAGGAATTGTAATAAGCCGCTAATTGAAATTTCATGTAATTACAAAGTGGTCAGTTTTTAAGGTTACGTATGTTGAAATTATTATCCGATTGCGTCATTCTAATTTAATTCGACGGAATTCTTGAATGTTGTTTTAATGTTTCCAACATTAGCTAATGTTTGTGATTACATTTTTATATGTTTTACGATTCATCATTCACATTGCATTGCATTAACGTCGATTTCGATATCAATAACAATAATAATATCGTATCAAGATCGCGGTTTTATTAAGCGATTTTTCGCGATCGTTTGATACATATACCAGTTTGTCATCAGGTAAATTTACATTAAATATTTTATATAGATATTAAATAATTATACAGTACAAACGTCTAAAATATATCCGAGAGATATCTCTGGGACGTATTTAGAATGTATTTTAGACACTTGTGTTATAGATATTTAGTATATACATTAAATTTTTAGTGTAAACTAGCCCAAACAGCCTATGTCTGGTATATGTATCAAATAATTGCAGAAAATCGCATATTCTGACAGAATTCGAGACAGTAATATGTTTTCTAGCTCGAGATTGCAAGTGTTTTTTCCACTTACGCACATAGTCGCTCTGTTTATTCGTGTGACGACGACCGTCACATGAATGTTGCGTAAATGAAGGGAGGAAAAACATTTGCGAGTTCTGGCTAAAATGCACATCACTGGTTTGAGAAGGTGATAAATTTGCAATAACTACAGAGGTTCTCTCAAATTTCATAAAATCAAGATAAAGATAGGATTATTTGAGCAAAGCAAGCAATTATTCGGTAAAATTGAGTCTGACGTTTGTCTAAAAGAAAATCGTATTTAAAACATTCTCACACATGCAATAATTTTTAATAGATGCGCAAGATACATAAAGAGATCGTTAGAAAATTGTTGAAAGTAAATAGCTGCTGTTTTGTATCGAGCGGGTTGAATGAAATAAATTAATCACTGTATTGTAGAAAAGACTCATATCACACATTTTTACTACCACATTCAACAATTAAAAGCATTGATATTTTCCCAATAATAAAAAATCTTTGTGAAATTATTCTCGGGGAATTATACAAATGGATGCTAAAATCTTATCCTTTTATAAATTCCAAATTTCGATTTTACTTAAACACACACACATAATCTTAGCTTAACACTTGGTAATTAAACAAATCAAAGAATACCTTCTCTCTCCAATTCGATTTTCGATAAGACCAAAATCATTTTCGGATTATCCGAAAATATTTCCATTACACGGAGCATATACGCGCGCAATTTTACGTATTGTTGCTCGAGTATAAAAAAAGAAAGAAAACAGCTTCTAAAACTAGATCCCTTGTAAATATCGGATGTAGCTTATAAACTATATATTTAAGTCAATAGTGTCATACATACAAATGTTTCATTACAACCTATGTGTGTCCACAGTTACAATCCTGCGAATTTAGGCTTCCACCGCCTTTCGTGATTTCATTTATTCTACAGAGCTAGGCTAATGCGTTTTTTACGGAAATCTCATAATTTATTTTTTTTCATGATGATGATCAAATTGTTATTGTTATAGCCATCAAGCAGCGGAATTCCGTATTGTATCTATTAACGTATCTCCAAATAGCACAAAACATCAGAATTATCTTGAAAATATTCAAAACGCCTGGAGAATATTCCAGCATCCTAAGCACATTCAAGGTAATCTCAAGATATCTTGTATTATTTGGATTCGGTAAAGGTATTTTAGATAACTGAAAAATGTCAAGTAGTGATAACTGTAGCCGTAAATGGAAGTGATTCAACAAAGAATGTCCCAAAATTATTAGATATAATCTCAGTTTTTTCCTTCACTTCTTTTGAAATTTCTTTAATTCCAGCAATGAATTTTCTAAATAATTATAGCTTTTATAGCGATTAAAGCTTGGAAGGAGGGATTTCTTGATGAATTTAACTTTAGGAGAGAAATTATACGGAAAAATTATATATTTATCGGATAATTTCACAAATAAACTCTCTCTTTCTTTCGATAGAATTTTAATTTGCAGTTCAATTACAGGACATATAATGTTAAAAGTTAAGAAAGTGTAGAAATTAATTATTTGTATTTTGGTTATAGAATATCCCAATGATTTTGGAACACTTAAGTATTTAGTATATTTCAAAATAATTAAGAATCTAATATTTCAAATAATTAAGAAACCGGCACTCTCATATCTCTAATATTTGTGGAAAGTTTTGGAAACTGTTTCCTAATAAATGATGTATCTATAGTTACGACACTGTGACTTTTTTAGTCCCGATCTACAATAGATGTAGTAAGCTTTAAGCCTTAAGAAATTGATTAATCACAATCGAATTATAGAGGAATAATCAATTGTGGTTAATTTCTTACGGCTTAAAGCTTACTACACCTATTGTAAATTGGGACTTACTCATCACTCACCATCTGTTGTAACCTGTTCAAATAGAATATATATATTACGAAATTATAAAAAATAATGCAATGTATTATCTATAAACTGCCTTAAATGACAACAAAATAATATAATCGCATCATTTGTATAACCCATTAATAGTAATATTATTATATTCATCGACTGTTGTTTTTTAAGCATGTCTATTTATACAGACATGAGCTGGTTATTCAGGCAATCTTTCTTTTTTTTATGGATATCGTGATGACTCAAAGAATTTTATTGAAAAATTTTATATATATACATACACACAGAGTGTCATAACTCACAAAGAAGCTGCAATGTATAGATTAGGTCAAACTGAACAAAAAATTCCTCTTCCATTTTATAAATAGCTATTTTTTCTTTGATTAAAAACTCAAAATTTTATGGTTGTTCGCAAAATGGTTCAGAAGTTTTTTGTTCAATTTGATCTAATATATCCGTACACCACACTTACTCCGTAAGTTACCAGATACCCCGTATGTGTGTGTGTGTGTGTGTGTGTGTGTGTGTGTGTGTGTGTGTGTGTGTGTGTGTGTATATATATATATAATAATACAGTTTGTTTCTTATGTCAACGGTGTTGCGTCCGCTATTCTTGATAATTTCTGAAAGGATATTAAACTGAGGTGCCGATTTCTTAGTCAGTATTATTCTATTTTCAATTGGAACATCGACTATTGTGTTTAAAAAGGCTTTACAAAATCCGGCTAATCCTTTATCCTATTGATAAAAGAATAGAATAAAAAAAAGTTGATCTGATAAAACATTTTACAAAAAGTTGACCTGACAAAACTTTTTACAAAAAGTTGATTTGGAAATGAGTCCTTAAAATGATTCCAAAGCCAAACAATAGAAAAGAAATACACATAAAAGAAGAAAAATCACTCGAGTGTCGACTGCATGATTTATATGCTTTTAGGTAAGTGTTTCAAACAATAGCGTTCAACGTCATAGTGATCCCACGAGACGCGGTCTTTCGTTCACCCTTTCCGTAGCTTTTGTTTGTTCCCTTTTGTCTCTCTTCTCAATTTAACATACATTTTCCTTTTCACAAAAATTTTCAGTCTGGAAGTCAAACCTAGGATTTTCTTTTCATTTTAAAAGGAACATTAAGCACCGAGTACATTACATTCCATATGTAAAAAAAGAATTTCACTTCTATTTTACATGAATTCTTTCGCGTAATTTAAATTAACGCAAAGAAATGAAATTATTTGACGCTTAACATGTTAAATTCAAGAAGCGTAATACAGCGTTGAGAGAACAAACAGACCTATTAATGATATATATATGTGTGTGTGTGTGTGTGTGTGTGTGTGTGTGTGTGTGTGTGTATATATATATATATATATATATATATATATATATATTACAGAATACAGAATACCGCTACAGGATTAAGAGCGAGGCGGGTAAACACGCGCGCGCGCAAGCATATGTTGGATGTGCAACACACATGCAACACATGCATTCCACGCCCTGTCGCGTGCCGATATAGAATACGCGATCTATTTTTACGTCTCTCCTCGTCACCTTGCACTTTCTTTCCTGCACACCCCGCCCTTATAATCGGCACATACAACAAACTTTACATATCGTAAAATCGATAAAATGACCAGCCGCGAGACAGTCCTCGCCTCGATCAGTAACAAAACGCGAAGGGAGACTTTCTTTCGACATATTATCGCTATTATCGATGTCACACTTTTATTTTGAATTCTTTACATGTTTCTTTTTCTTCCTTTTTCTCTCTCTATTTTTTAAAACTTTCGTTTTACGAAATCGAGTCCGCCATCTACGGCCACTCACTTCACATAGCTTAAAAAAGTACATGTATATATATACAGAGTGTCCTAGATATCGTGCACTTTCTTTCGAATATAGATATTTCGGCGAATTTATTAGCTTATAGTTTTTTAAGAGTGGAGAATATGAGGTATAATATATAATACATATTATAATTAGACCTCGAGTATAGAAATTAATATTAATAATATAGAAGAGTAGAGTCAACAAAACTTAACAAACATTAAACATATCTCGATAACTAACTTATAAACCAATTTATAAAAAACCTTACTGAGATATATTTAAAATTAAAAAAAACAAGATTAATTTGGACTACACAATCCTGAAATTACAATTAGGAAAAGTTTTTAATTTAATTCCTAATATATATAGTCGAAAGAAAGTACACGAAAGTATGTATATATATATATATACACATATACACAGAGTATTCCGCACACCACCATAAAATATTTTAATAGCGTATGAAAATTAATTGTATGAGTGTATGTGGAGTACTCCATTTTTACGTGACACTGTAGTGATTAATTCTAATTGCTGATAACCTGAAAATTTCAATCTTCAAATTTTATCTAGAGTCAGTTAGGATGCTTTACTCTTGAATTAGACTACATTTCAAAATAGACGCTGTTAAAATATTTTACCGTGGTCGTGAGACACTCTGTACATTCATAAGTTTATGCGTTCGATTTTATTAACATGATTTATTTCTAGTTTCCCCTTCGCTCACCGTACTGTCTTCGTTTTTTTCATATTCTTATTACCTTATTGGTTTTACTTTAACCTCGCGCAACTTATAAGTCCGACCCCAACACGACCCATACATGATTTGCGCACGTTACTGGAACAATGATAGACTTTGATTGTTCGTATTACAAAAACTACTGCTGGGTTATGTCAATCCTTCTTATCATATATAAAAGAGATTAATTACACAGTAGATAATTCTCGGTAATCGACAATAGACTGTACATCTCAGTAACACGAAGTGTCAATTCTTTCTATTAACAACGAAAGAGATTATCACATTAGTATGAATCTCAGTAAGGAAGGTTAAATCAGAACCTTTATTGTTACTACAGCATCAACAGCGTTACGACGTCTCCGGCGCTCGGAACTCTTATACAACCTGGCTTTCCCTTTTATGAAAGTATCAAAAATATCCTTTCTAGCACTCATCCCCCAACAGACAACGAAAAACGATACATGGTCTCGACACTAAAAAATCAGTAAAAGTATAACTAACTTATGTAAGGTAGAGCTCACCTGCTCACTATACACGTATTCTTGACTAAGATTCGTCCTGTCCCCCATTTTCCAAAACTGAATAAAGAGTATGAAAAAGAAAATAATGAACGATTGTAATAAAGATCGTCCTGCTTAAATACTAAATCGAGTTCAAGGCGTAAAACTAAATAAAATTTATAAATATGGTACAATCGATAGTAAGCGATAGAGCAATTATAGATTAATTGTAGAGATACGTATAGGTAATAGCATTGTATCGTTGAATCCTATGGCGATTTCTTCTTAAGTCCCCCGCTTAACAGTAGTAGAATTGAGGATTGAATTAAACATCTGCTTTCATGTTCAATTTCAGTGTGTCTCATGTTCAGTTGAACAATTCACGCACGCACCAATCACCATTGTGGACTAGCAGCCACCTTGACTAGCTTTTTTTAAATTTCCGTCATTTCGTCCTGCCTTAATCCCATCGACGTGAATGTCCTCTGGGTCAGCAACTTGTTCCACTGTGTTTCTCCAAATTTAGCAGGTACGAATCAATCTCCAGGATGTTCAGGGCAGCTACGATTCACTTGAAACCACTTATCAATGCAGCTAAACAGACATCAAATGTTATTATCTATTCTATCATGATATATAAAGTGGTTTTTCAGTTTTCAACTCTAGATAATTAATATTTTGATAGCAATGGTAACATGGTTATTCTCCTTGATATTTTTTAATTACTATTTCATGTTATATCTGTATTTATATTTATGTGCACACATATATATTCTATTATATTCTTAATATTTATAAAGCTTTTATGATAAAATAATATATCTTTTCTTAATGATAAATATCATAGAATAATTAAATATATAACAATAACTGTAACAATAACTAGATATATAACAATAACAATATAATAATTAAATATATTTTTACTATTAGTAATACCTGCTGTTGTTTATATTAATAAAGAAATAAAACTGAATAACAGTAAAATGATATAGTTATACATACTTTTTGTGATATATACAGAGACAGGGCAAGCGAGCTATAACATCACCAGGTTGTAATTCCTCAAGACAAATGACACATTCACCTTTTTCATCCGCTAGCACGTCCTCTGTTATGTGAAGTAATGATAAATTTAATTACAATAATGTTATAACAATCTTTAAATATTTAGTCAGAAAAATCTTGCTCCAGAAACAACGATTCACTGATTGATAAGCAGCAAAATAATTTAAAAAACACATTTACAGTTTATCAACTTAATACTACTTTATTGCAGTAAACAACTTACCATTGTAACTGAGCCGTGGCTTGGTCAGGCACATGACCAGGTGACATTCTATATCATCCGGTAGAATGAACTTGGAGCATACGGGACACTTTAGACCTTGAACATAGTCGAAGAATCTCAGAGAAACGAAAGTCAAGTACAATCGCGGAAATTGGGACAGGGAGGTCGAGTAGTGGGGCAGAAGAGAAACGAGGATGTGGAACGGTGTAGCGAAACGAACTTGAAATACTGCGAGAAAGATATGATATACCATATAAGACTCTTCTCACTCGATCTACCGGGACAGCCTCAGCCTCGGACTCGTTCAGGCACGAGCTCACTATAATTCCCATAATAGACCCGACATAACCTCAGCCGTGACCCTTCATCCCGCGCGATGATCCTCTGCCAAGACCCATTTTTCGTGATGATCGGCGTACTCGCTTTTTTCACTCTGTCTTTCTTTACTCGATATATTTATCGCTAATTTAAAATTTACCTAGCCTGCGGTCGGATAGTCATCGATTGTACGCGGTTACCGGGCCAACCACCCCGGCAACACGCGTCAAAACAAACGCCCCCTGTCCCACCCGCGAATCATCATCGCGAGCACTCCGTCCGCGAAGCTTGCGGTCATCGACATAACCTCACTCGCGTGCCTGCTCGTGCGGCTACGCTAGGTTAGAGGCCACAAATTAACGCTCCGCGTTAAAGAAACCGAGCGATTTTTGAAACGTGCCGTATGACAGTCCGTCTTGTCATAGCAATTTTGTCGTACAAATCGATAATGTCTATGTTAATAGAAATGCGGCTGGATAGACTCATAGATGCTAATAATGAGCAAACATTTTGATGACTATTTTAGCAACATCATTTGTACAACGCTCTTCAGAAATAGAATACTAGAAGTAGAATATTAGAAGTAGAAGACTAGACAACCTCTTGATAATTTATTCATCAATGACGTCTCGTATGTAATATGTCAATTTTCAGTAACATAGAAACAAAACGAATGCATGGTACATCCTGTCATCCACACAATGAGCTGATCTCACGAACCAAACCATGGTGTTAGAGAGTATGTAGTTTCTGAAGTCTAATTTGTGAAGCTTTGTTCAAGAACAAATCTCATGCAAACTCAAAGAACGACTCAGATAAATTCACTTACCGTTGAGGGACCAAATGTGTGAAGGCAAGCTATGAGCAGCGTAAACACGTCCACTATCCTCATCAGCATCATCTGAGTCAAGCTGTGGCAAGCCAAGCGCCTGACCAACTCCTACTCCAACCGAAGTAGCAAGACCAGCTTGCTCAGCAGAAGAAAGATCTGGTACAGAACTTAATGAACGCGCACGTTGTCTACTGTCCCCTGACACACGTGAACTTTGCGACTGATTGGCCTGCTGGTGTTGATGCTGCAACATGCCCATACCACCAGGCAGAGAACGGAGCATGGAGAAACCCTGCATTGTTGTCTCGTTGGCCCCAGTGGAGGACTGACCATTGCCACTAGTAGACTGTGCTACAGTGCTTGTCTTGGCTCCCATCCCAGCTGAGATTGTAATTGTCACCACGTGTCCGTTCGTTCTCCCTGTACAAATCTTCCTTTCTTTCTTTCTTTCTTTCTTTCTTTCTTTCTTTCTTTCTTTCTTTCACACACACACACACTCTCTCTTTCTCGCTCTCGTTCTCTCACTCGATACACTCTCCCTCTTTCGCCCTTCCTATTTGTCTTTTTATCTCGTTACTGCAATAGTCAAACAATCACCTGGCTGTTTAGTTCACGAGATTGAAAGCAGGTTCCGGTATACCGCGCTCCGGTTATCTCAGGTCCTGGCAGTGGTACACATACACACACACATATACACATGTACACTGGCACAGTCCTCGCGCGCCTCGTTCGCCCTGATCTCGTCTCCTTCCGCTTCTTGCGTCGGCGTCGGCGACAGGCGATTCGAACGACCTGGCTGACGTTGCCCCACCGGCGTGCTTACAACACTTTGGGATTTAACTTAGGCCGGAATTTAGCAGACGTGCGCAGCCACGACAAGCAAGTCATTTCGTCCGCGGGCATACCAGCGGCTCGTCGCACAAAACATCCCCCGACATCTTGCGATAAACTTCCTAGATGTCAATGTGCTCGGCTCGCGCAGACATTCCACTCCGCGCTAATGCGCGTCACTCCTCATCGTGTGTACGCGAGCGCCTCACATGTGAAGTTAGCTGCTTGTTGCTTGAACGCACCGTAATCTAGATACTCGTTTATCGTAACTATTTATTAAGCCCGTATCAGACTAGCGATTGTTGATTGGAATTCTTAATCCATAGTCCGACACGGGCATTAATGGCCCCCGCATATAGGACGCGAGTCGCTTATCGCGCGGCAAAAGGTGTGTGCAGAAATCATGGACGTAAGAATACATGGATGGAGCGCAAAGTGCGATTATAGACGAGGGGCTATGAAGCCTAAGGGACAAGAGGATTACATCGTCGCGGCCATGTTCGTAGAGGAGTTTTGTATCTATTTTCACAACACACACAATGGTCGTGTTTTATTTTTACTGCCAGTACTGAAAATCTACAGTTTTCGTCACGTATACTATAGATTTTCAGTATTGGCAATAAAAATGGAACAGGGCCAATGTATAAAAACAGCGACCGTCGCTTTCTTGATATATCAACTCCATTACAATCATTTCCTTCATCTCTTGGGCTTCACCCCGGCGATAATATGTTCCGTCCATGTATTCTTACGTCTATAGCAGAAACCACAAAAAATTTAAAGCAGCTTTTTATTAGTTAATTGAATATGAAATTATTATTTATCTTTTTATATAAGTAACACTGATAATTATCAAACCATCAGCTACAACCACAGATGTCTATACTAAATAAGATCGTTAAAAAGGGCTTCGAACGTATGTCGTGTAAGGTTTCCGGTTGCATGCGAGAAAATGGCGGCAGTCCTGTGTGTGTGTGACGTTGTGTGCGTGACGTGTCACTTGTGTGAGTATTTACAACGTACAAGTGAGTCAGCGTGGCCATTAAATTATTGTCGTAAAACCAAAAATGCCAGCATCTTATTGTATCAAAAAATGTCGTAACAAAAAAATAGATGGTATTGGACGTTATTTGCTTTGCTCATTTTCAACAAAAGAATTTTATGACTAAACATAGTGAAAATATGTGGCGGTAGCGGCCATTTTCTCGCATGCACCGGAAACTCTATCGGACACAAGCTGTTACATGTTTTTAGATAGCCTGTTAGCAATCTAGTTTAGTATAGACATCTGTGGCTACAACTCGGAATCGCGATGGGCAAATATCGAAGTATAATCGATTCAACAAGCGCCATATTTCAAGCAAGAATTCCCTATCCGATAGCCAATCAGCATGCTGGACATAGAAATTAAGATAAAATTGCGATTCCTTTAGATTTGAATATATTTTATAGCATGTTCGACTGGCTCTAGGTTAACCCACTTTGGATTATTCAGTCTACGTTTATTAGTCGAACAAGTACTTATAAGCTTTATGATTGGCTAGTAGAGACTTATGACGTCATTAATCGCTCTCGGAGCGATTAACCCAGGACCAGTCGAACACGCTATTAGATATTTTCTTCGATACTTGGAATATTGACAAAGTTGCAGAATTGTCGCAGAAACACTTTTCTTTTAAATCCAAGAATACTCCATCATGTTAATATAATATATTTATCTTTAATGTGAAAATATTAGATAGAATTATTAGTTACAACATATACCAAAAATTTATGTATATCTTTACGCACATATATATATATAAATTATATATATGTAGGCAAGTATACATATGTATATATGTATGTATATATAATACCTTTTTCTTATAAATATGTAATATATATATTTACAGTTTAGTCGATATAAAAATATCTAAAGACATTTGTAATCTTTATACACATACAATAAATTTCAAAACGGCGAAAATGGCACGTAGTTGGTAAAATAATTAATTAGTAGTTTTGACATAGATTACGAGTTTCAGCCTTTGAATCGGGGCTCAGAGAGCTCCAATGAATCTCGGTACACTTTTGTAGCTTCATTTTGGTCCGACTCTTGTCGTCGGCGTCGCATATCTCGACAATGTCATAATGCTCGTATACTAACTTGTCTATGTAATCATCAATGTCGTTGCCGACATCAATGATCCTATTCTGGCCGTGTTCATTTTGCTCATCATTCCGCATTGCGGATCTTACTAAGTTCGACCATTTTTTATTCATTTCCTCTGTAACATGGTAAACGGCGCTCGGACCGTCTATTATCTCCTTAAACTTTTTCGGATCGATTCTCTTGGTTTTCCAATAAGACAATGGAATCACCAAAAAATTCAATTTTGTCACCAGCAAGGTGTCAGCAAGTAACAATAGCCGCCAGGTGCCAACAGTTAACTGTTCGTTCAGCTGCGGTTTAACATGTCCCACCTGAAAACACATACATAATGAAGTCACATAAATTAATTGCAACAGTATTTCAATATTTAGACCCATAAAGCTAATATATAAGTGTACATTACCAGGGTCATCTCCTCAAGGAGAATATGATTAATGTCGGCCAGACGACCTTGTGGATCAATCCATAGGATTGATATATTTTGCGGTACTGCAATGTCTCTATCAAATTCATAAGCCAATACTGGATTAGAATACGGGCCTATACTGCTTATCAGGTTTCTGAACGTTTGCTCCTTTTGATCGTAATCCGTACTGACAGCGAGACTCCGTATTTTTCCCAACCAATACCCATCTGTGGAGAAGTTATGTCGCACATGAACCAAAGCTTCTATGCGTCTCACACGATCGTTGGGTAATGCGGATGTATCAGAGGATTTATCTTTATTCTCTGCGAGAATTAAAATGCCAGCAAACCGATTTTCTCGGAAGTATGCGGTGTTTTCCAATAAGCGACTATCTTTATAGTTCATTTTCAGTTTCTGGAAAGCCAGCCTCGTCAAGGAATACGAAAGTGTCAGTAACGCGTCGTCAGGTAGTGGACTCAGATCCGCATGATTATATAGACTTTGCCAATACATATCATAACCCTCGGCTTTGATAGCTCGACTTTTGTTTATTTTATCAGGATATAGCCATTCCTCTACTTTGTCCACGATTCTCTGATCGATGACGGGCTCGAACTTCCGGGCGAAGAATAAATTGCGATCCGCAGTGTTCTGTATCCGGTCAAAATCCTCGAGTTTGAAATCGTTCGGACTACACCCACACCAGTCTACTACTGCCTTGTACTGGCACTTGCATCCTAATTTTCTTTTCCAGTTAGTTACGTGCAAGTTATTGTCTATATAGGTGTTGCAGAATCTCGAATTTCTCAAAACAGTGTGAAAGAATGATTCAGCCGGCAGCAAAGTGTATTTGAATAGTTTTAACAGACTGGATACTATTGGATCAGGACTCGGATTGGCAACATACTCGACAAAGTCCCGACTTAGAGCAATCCAATCACTACCACCGTCAATTTGAATACCTGTACAAAACAATATATATCATAGTTTTACATGTACTTAGTTTATATATTTGTATCAATATCTTCAGAGAAAAAGGTTCAGGTTCTCTTCTTGCAATTTTTAGTTATGGAAGCTCTCTGACGATTTGTAAACATTTAAAAATCTAAAACTTCTATATATATGTATCGTGCATATTCTCTTTCAATTACTAAAATGTCTCAGTTGATCAATATAACCAATAAGTGTTATTTCAAAATATTCCATCAATTTTAAGATTTCTATAACTAAAAATTTGTTTGAAGAAACAAAAATTAGCTTTTCTTCTATGATACAATCGAATATATATCGAATGTTTTTTTGCAGGTATTCCATATTTTTATATTGCTATTTGTAAGTTTTCTAGAAGAGCTAATATAAGGTCACATACCATCTGGTAATTTTCGATCGCCGACTCTCCACATGCGCGTCTCACACTCGACGAAAGTTTTATCTAAACCTTGCTTCGTTATGAAACGTTGAACTTCTCTTCCGTGAGATTTCACGAAGTTCATGCCCTTATTCCAGCTCAGAAATTCAGTTAATTCATTGTTGCTTTTCACTGGGAAGTCGGATTCCGACAGATTCACGAGAAAGTCCCAATGATTATGATGAGTGAGCATCTGTTGCGCAGACTTCAAAAGAGTCGTCAAAAGACTCGCACCGCCCCAGATACTTGCGTATCTCAAGCCCTCCCCTCTCGCTACTTTGATATTGTTCAATTTGCATGATCTTTCCACCTTCAACATTTCACGATATAAGTAATCCTGTCTCTGGAAATATACAAGTCGATTAAAATACATATATTAAATTTTTATCAAACTTGGTATACTATCGATGTTTGTTACTTACTGCATCAACGTGGATATAAAATAAATGTGAGGGATGATACAAAATATTTATAAGCCGTTTCACCTGCCGGCTCGCCCTACCATTCACTGTTAGCAGATAGGCTATTCGCGCAGGCTGTTCAGATTCATTCTTTAAACTTGAATTTTTCGCTTCTTGAGGTTTAAACTCTGTTAAATGAAGAGAAAAGGTCTTTGATAATCTTATTGACATCTACATGCATTTATGTGCGCTTACTTACTTTGAATTCCAGTCCAATATACATTGATAGTTAAATAGCCACCGCACGACTGCTTTGGATTGCCGGAACATTTCATATTGCAGCTGGAGTCTGGTAAACGTTTTGTAAATGGAGGTTCCTCCATCCCACAGAAGCATTCCACACTGAAATTGTTTGTTTATGATGCATGTTAAAGCTGGGTATACACTTAGCCAACGAACAAATAGCGAACGTGTAATATACTTGTGTCCACTTTGCGCTTAAATTTTCTTTGATAAGCCATATTATAAGCGAATCATCCGAATGTAATAAAATATTCTGCTTGAATTCGTTAAGGCGTACATATTTTTTTCTCATAAAGCAAAAGGTTGCATTTGTTGTTCGTTCGCTCAATATCCAGCTTAAGATGCAATAAGATGTGAATATATATATACAGGGTGTTCCCAAATACAACCGCAAACTTTGAGAGATTGGGGACATTCTAAAGATTATTTTTTGCCAATGAATTTGGGATTGGAAATGAGTCGTTTCATTTTTACGGCATACGGGGTATTCGAAAAAGGTCGAGACCTCGAAATATCTAAAAAATATAAATTTTATAAAAAATTGTTTTAGAAAAAAGTTGTAAAGTGTAAAACGATCTTTTACGGGTTCGATTCCTGGCCTAGCAAACCGCGCTTTCGATATTTTTCTATCTCCGAAACGAAAAAAGACGCAGGTCTTGACCACAAGTAGCATCCCGCCGTTACATAGTACGCCCTTCTCTTTCTACAGTACCTTAAGGATCATTTTTTGCAAATAGGTTTGCGGTCGGAAGAGTTATTTATTGCTACAGCATATGGTGTGTTTGAAAAAGGTCGGGACCTTGAGATATCTAAAAAAATATGTTTTATAAAAAATTGTTTTAGACACAAACACCCCATATGCCCATATGTCCATATGACGTAGTAATAAGACGACCCTTTTCCGACCGTAAACCCACTTGTAAAAAATGATCCTTAAGGAACTATAGAAAAAGAAGGACGTATTAGGAAACGGCGGAACGCAACCTGCGGTTGAGACCTGCGACTTTTTTTAAAAAAGATCTTTTACAAAAAATTATTTCAGACAAAAGTTGTAGAGTGTAAAAGATCTTTTTACACCTTACAACTTTTTTTTCATTTTTTTAATGCCGTAGCAATAAAACGATCTATTTTCGACCGCAAATCCATTTACAAGAAATGATCTTTAGGGTACTCCCAACAATCTCTCAAAGTTTGTCGGTTGTATTTGGGAATACCCTGTATATATATAAATAAATATATATATACATATATATATATAATTTAGAGAGATACTAACGAATATTCTGTACCGGCGTATGGATATCCTGATTGAAGACACATGTAAGCGCAGCGCTCCGGAGAATTGTTCCCTTTGAAAATATGATAATAACTAGAAAGTATTCTCAATGCCTTATCATCTTTGAAGCAACCTAAGCTGGTCGGCATGCCTGTAAAACCTGGAGAATGAGGACACAAAGATTGTACTCTTTTCGGGTACAGTGAACCCTGCTGGTTAAGGCACGTCACATTGACAATGCGTTGCTTGCATGCTTGACTCTGAGCACGCGTTACGGCACTCACTGCTTCTCTGCCTGTAATCTCGCACATAGGTATAAAGTTTAGCGTTTTATAATCTAGCTTAATTCTGGCGGTGCGATTTCTTTGAAACTGCAGAGTTTGCTTATTTGTGCTTGTTTGTTTGTCTGTTTGTTTGCTTGTCTGTTTATCAGGTGGAAGTTTCAATTGACGTAAGCCTTTTGGCAAGCCCTCACCCTCTTCAGGTTGAGAAGAACCACCCTGAAAAGAGAACCAAATAAACAGAGGAAGTTATAAAGTAAATTTTTCTGTGATTTATACTGCTTTTAATATGAAACTTTTAACAAAAATTACCTCTCCAGAGGAGAGCCGACTGGATTTACTTTTGCCATTGTCCAGACCAAAAAATGTGTGTGCCAGATAAATCTGTACACATAATACAGTTACCCCAAATGTGAAGAGCAGTCGATATTTGCGTAAACAGCTAGATGAACGGCCAGCTGGATAGTTCTTAGTATTCACCATGTTTCTTAAATATTGCTTCTGTAAATTTTTTTAATTGCTTATAGAGATCTTTTCCTCAGATCTTACTTTAGAGCTGTAAGATCACATGTATTATTGGTGTTTTCATAAATCTCTTGCCTCAGATATTATTTGATAAACTATAAAATCATATATATTGTGTTTATGTCAAAGATGTTTTAAAAAAACATAAGATACAGATAAACAGAAAATACTTTAAGAAATACATTACATTTGTATATTATAAAAGCCAAGGATATTTAATCCTTGAAACAAGTCTCACATCAACTTGGTCAATTACTGAATGCTCTGGAATATCTTTTTAAGATAATTCCTGAGCTATCTTGCAAACTGTCGTATGACAATAGGATCATATAGTGTGGAACTCTTACAGGATCCCCTAAGAACTTGTCTGCCTTACAATTACTGCTAGCTCTTTCCTCACACTGAATTTGAGAATTGCTATATTTCAGATATGGTAAATGTTAAAATGTTACTATTATACCTGTCTATGCCCACAGAATAACTGCTCTGCGTATCCTTTGGGCATTCTTAACACAAACATAATATGAACATGATTTTATAGTTTAACAGAAGTAGTATTTGAGATGAGTCTTATACAAAATCAACAATGCAAGTAATCTTACAGCTCTAAAATGGGATTCAAGGAAAGAGATTCCCACAAATAATTAAAATACTTACAAATTAAAAATGGAATTTGTCAGTTGACAGAAATGGATATCTCATATTTCTGATTATCGTCGATTACCGTGCAAAATTGAAGCCAAGTCAGCTCAGAGCTGACAAATTTTTGTCGCTCGGTACCCTCATCGGTAGTGAGAATCAGTCCGTACCTTACTCTCTTCGGCGGAAACTCAAACGCGTTCTTCCACTCATGCGCTCCGCACACCCCATCGTATGCACTGTCATGAATGCATCGAATGCAGGCACTATGTGACAGTCAAGCCACTGTCGAGAAGGTTGGGTTAGGTTAGAATCGCGCGCTATAGCGCGTGCCTAAGCTGCTTGGACAATTTCGACTCGACCGTATAGGTTATGATCGCATTTGCGATAATCCCGTAAACAACTTTGGTCACGCTTATTGTCGTCTATGCGTTCACCCACGAAGAACGCCCATGGAAACCGGGCGTCACACGAAGCTTGCGTGCTGCTCAAAGTTGATCTGGTGAACACGGTGATGTAGAGAGGTGCGATAACGGACACAGTTATTAGAGTTTGACTAATCCGAGGTGCATACCACGCTAGAAAATGGCAAACACAGCAGTCATGCATAAGGCAAAAGAGGAGGATATCCTCGAGTGTTTCCTGTATCCCAAGTTTTGCTACACGACGGACCCGGACGCGGTAACGGAGGCGACGCTGAGTGAAGAAATCGAGAAGTACAACGCAGAGATCGCGCTGTTTATCGTCGATCATATATGGCACTGTGACAGCTTAAATTTCCGTCCTAGAACCAAGCAAGCAATGCTGTTGAACAGAATACTCGAGGGATCAGCTGTTGAAGAAGGTGAGTTCTTTCATTCATGTATACTTTTAATTTTCAGGAGATACTGCGACCAATGCTAACGATATGCCACTTTATCACCAGACTATCATACCTTGCCCCATATTTACGCGAGTCTACGCTTCGACGAGGACATAGGTGACGAGTGGCTGACAGTGTTCCTGATATTTAAGCTCACCAAAGTTTTCAAGGGATTGATCGCCAGAGTAGTGGATTCAGATGGGGAGTTTCTTCTGATAGAGACCGCTAATGTTCTACCGCTGTGGGCTAGCCCTGAGACATGTCAAGATCGAGTGTTCATTCATGACGGTGACATACACGTCATCAGAGAGAGGGGAACGTCGTTTCCGAATTTGCTGAACAATATAAATGGCAAGCCATACATCTCCAAGATGTCTGAAAAAGTACAGCTTATATTGCAGAAACGAATTAGGATTTATCCAGACGAGATACAGAAGAGGAAGCACAAGACCAGAGCATTTCTTCCAGAGAAAGCAGCCTCTATACTTCGTCTAGAGCCTAGACTCATAGCTCCAGCAATTAGAACCATTTGTCATTCAGATCCATTGGAGCGTAGGGTAAGGGTCTCTGTACAAAAATATCTGACGCTTCAAGTTACATTAAGTGTTGATCATAAACCAAAGTCTATATATAAAACAACTTAAAGCATTATGGATGTTCTTGTGCAAAGGCTCTAACAGAATGTACTTGATTATTCACATAAGCAGTTTTACATTACACATTATGTTTGTATTATTTTAGGTATGTCGCGCCATGAGATATTTTCCCCCTGAACAACGAACTATGGTCAATCTCAAAATGACCAAATGTTTATACGCGATGGCAACGCACTGTCGTTATACCGGTGATCCAAGAACAGGTTGGAACATACCACCCGCGACTTGCTCAAAATACAATGCTCACGTTCTCGGAGTTAAGGTAGCATGCGGTTTAGAGATGTTAGTAGCTCGGGCCAATGAGGAGCGTAGAAAACATACCAAACAGAAACCGGACGCTTCCGATGACGCTGAGAAGTTAAAGCTGAACGAACCAGCCTTCAATGCTTATCTAGCTCGTTTAGAGGCAAGCGGTTATTTTAGAGATCTGTTGGAAGGTAGCCAGGAGCGTGATAAGTTGCTATCCACAGCAAAAGAGTATTTCTTGAAGCATGCGACCTTATTTGATAATCTAACAAATTTACACGAAAGCGATGCTCAAAAAGTCTTAGAAGCATGGGAGAATATACAGACCAATGACATTGAAATGCATGGTAATTCGTTTTACATTGTTCCATTCTGAATATCAGTGTAGCAAATCACGTCGCGTTTTGCATTTATTGCTACATTTGTATAATATTCACTTACAGCTCAAGACGAGACCACTCTAAGTCCTGCGAACAGTGACAGCTGGCTGAATGTAGATCCGGCGCAATTAGAAACGTACTTAAATCAACAATGGGGCAACGTTAAAGACAGGAAATTAGATCAAGAATCTTTGAGTCTCCGAGAGAAAGTGCAGTCGTTTCTCAACCAAACCAGCGGCGTCGATGGCGTGCATTTCTTAGGGTACGGTTTCTGTCAGAGACAAAGACAATTCTGCTGGTCCCTGATTTACTCGTGAATCAGGTCGTAGCGCTGAAAAATACATAATGCTGTTATAGTAATGACGAGTATTTTTTTATTACAGGGAGCAATCAGTGGAAAATGATGTGATGCAAGACGCGGAAGATAGTACACGAATAGAATTCGACGCGGATGTATTTGACAGTGCACTGAGAGGTATTCTTGACTTGGTTGTTCCGGGAGGCGAAGGAGAATTTGAAGGCAGCTCGGAGGGCTCGCTCGGTGGCGATGACGAGGATAAGGGCGGGGACATGGACAAGTACATGCGACTATTAGATTCGCAGCTGCAATCACAAATGATAAAAGAGGAGAATACCGTAGTGGCTGAGGATAATAACGTCGCGGATCCCGTAGAGGCAAGTTTGCGAGAGAGTATCGAGGCCGAGGCCGGCGGCTCTGGTCCGGCCGGGAATATAATCGGCGGCCCTGTTCGGAGGCTCATGCACTTGCAGTTGCAATCGCCCACGACGGTACCGCCTGACTTGCAAAGTTAATGGCACCTCTGATAAAGACGATTGATAATGTTAATTCACATTGATTAAACATCATAAACATTACTGCAACTCTCGCTTCATTGCATTCTCTGCAAAATACATAAACATTCGCCATTTACAAAAAGACTTATACAAAGCCGATATCGTGGACTAAAAAAAAAAACAAAATCTTGTTACTATCTAAATTATATATTATTACATTTATTACTTAAAGTATATACTTAATGTTATTGATCGAAGCACTTTTATCACACGGTTAGTATCATCGATACATATTTCTAGAGATCACGATTGTATTCTCATCACTCGGCTATATACTACTGTTTTTCATACATATTATATACAAGGTGATTTGTTCTGTGATTTGTGTCTCAAGACACTGCAGCAGGACAGTTCGTGGAAAAACTAAATACTAAGAAATGTTCACGTCTTTTCATACAGAGGTTAGTTTTTACGAGCTATTTTACTGGTATTTTGAGATGCAAATCTCACACATCTTGTATATATACATATATACATAACGTATATAAGATGTTATTACTGCAGGCCATAGAATTAGTCGGTAAGAGAACAAAGTACTCTACTATTTGTACATGTAGTAGTTTTGTTTCCACTTTTATAACTAATTTTAATAAGCATCGAACTATCCTCTTGTGTAAAGCTTTGTACATTTCAATTGGAATAATGAGACACATTGGACGTTTGTTGTGTATAGATTTGTATATTTTAGACTTGCTGAAGATGCGCATGACGACACATCTATCAAGCATGCGTGCCTGCGCGCATACAAGTCTGCATAAAAATTCCATATAAGAACATCGTTTATATTATAATTTGGAGAATTACGGTCTCTCTGTTGGTGCTATTAGCGACATGATCGATTATTTGATTGCCTATAGTTTGAACCACTTTGGTTTCCCTTTTTTATTTTGTACTGATGATGATGATGACGATTCCCCACCACTCGATCCTGGAGTAACGCGATCACTTTTATTTTCAACAATTGTGCCACCCTTGTCTTTAGTTGTCGTATCTTGTTCTTTTCGCGTTGTGTCGGTTCTATAGATAAATATGTAAATTATAACATCGATCTACATTGAAGGCTACAATCGATACGTCTTACCTAGACCTCACAGCTTCGATACCAGCGGCTCTTGGATCCGTTAACTTTGTTTTTACACTCGGCTTGAGCGATGATTGCCCGGAATAATAGACGATAGCGGAGGGAATCAAATTTTCATCTATCAGTCGCGCTTCAGGGTTTAAAATGTGCTTTGGTGGAGCGGTATCTGTCGACAAGAAAGTGACGAAATTTCATTAACGACACATATCTTCCTTTGCTTCGTCCATAAAATAGATACGTTATAACTGCGCGTTGTCACTTACAGATTGTGAATTCGCAGCTCGGATCGTCCAAGTAATTCATGATGAAATTTTTTACAGTTTGAATGCTCTCTAATGGTCCAAACAATCCCTGAAGAACGAATTGATCGGGAAACTGTATGCGAATTACGGTGCGTCGATACTTGTTCAATTGGTCTAGAATTCGTTTGTCTCGGTCCAACTGACGCTGCGCCTCCGTCAGCAGCGGAGCTGATTCAAGTTGTTCCCTACGACGTTTAGCGTCTCGTAAGAGAGTCTTCGCGTCGTGCAAGTTTAGGTCGAAGAAGCTGTCCGGCAATTCGTCCCTCGGCAATGCCTGAGTTCCAACTTGATTGAACACTAAAGCGTTTCTTTCCCCTAACTACAATACAAGATTTATGTACGTTAATAAGTAAACACGTCATTGCTACGAGATTGCACGTATGCACAATTACATCTTACAAACTCAATTTTGTATGTGTTTTCTTGATCTCTCTTGCACGCCTCCGTGACATTCTGATCTCTCTCAGTGTCGTGATCTTTTATATTGGACGCAACGGAATGGGTTCCTTCTGTCGCAGGTATATTCATCTCTTGGTTTTTCCTCTTATCTCTCGTACTTGTCTGTTCGTCTTCTACATCCATCTTTTCCTCATCTACACTTGCACCCGATCTCGTTTCGTCTGCTGTATCCATCTTCAGCTCATCTACGCTTACATCCATATTCGCCTCATTTTCTACTAGTTTGTTCTGGTTCTCTGTATTTGGCACAATATTTATCGATAAAGTCACGTCATCTATTGTTTTACTACAGTGTGGTGTGGGCGAAGGCATTCTTTGGGGATTTCTATTCCTCGATGCGGTATCCACTGTCAAGACTGGCTTTGGGAGCAAAGGCGTCGACACGTGCGCCTGAATTTTAAATTGCTCGGGATCGCGATACATTAATCGTATTATTGCCTTCCCACTGCTTAGGCCCAGCGACTTCAACGTCGCTTTCTCCAATGCTTCTTTTCCACATATCTGTACAAAAAAGAAATTTGAGGTGCATCTTTGTTGCCTTTGAGATATATTCAGGCAAACTTACGTAATCACAAATCGCATATAAACAAGGAAATTAATAAATCATGATTTGTGCAGTAAAAATATGTCTTATATTAGACACATAATTGGCAAATTTCCTTGTGCACATGCAATATCTGATGATGTAAGTTTGCCTGGCTAGACCTCTACGCTTGTATCGTGCAACAATTGTAAAACATATCAATTCTCACAACCTCTTGGCCTTGACAAAAAACAGAAATGCAAAAGCCAACCAGAACTTGCGCCGATGGTCAGATAATAGTGGACAGTTTCTGCTTTTCTACCAGCATGAGTTCTGATTAGCTTCTGCTTCCTGCTAATAAAGAATTCACACCTTGACAGAAAACTACAACTTGACCACCAGCGTGAGTTCTTATCAGCTCTTTTGTCTTTCAATTCTTTTTGCCAAGGTGTGAATTCTCCCTTAGTTTCACAATTTATGCTATATGTGTATGTACCTCACAATGCATATAGATCAACACTGCTCTGTCAAGGTCCGGATCAGGGTATATGTCTGTCAGTGCTTGAGCTAACGTTGTATTAGGTGAGAATTCTCGCATTACTCTCTCTCCGTCCTCCGGCTGTATGCAAATTGTAACATTCGACGTGGAACGTGCTTTCGTGCAGGCCACCATTTCCAGCTGAGCATTATTCGGTAGGCCGGTAAAACGGAACGTCGTGTTAAGGTCTAATATTCGATGAACGTGTCTGTAACAATAAGATGTAACACACGGCTTAAAAATGGAAATTATACCATATTGCAAACCGAAGTGTCCTACTCACTTAATATCATAATCGTCAACGTTGTAGCCTTGTTTCCGGCACACTTCCTCCAGGACCTACGGAAGAAAAATCACACGTGCGAATGTCGTGCAAATATTCCCTTTTGTACGACGTGTTGCATGACACATCGATATTATTCTTACATAGACGCAATTGGTGTCAATCATCGATAAGGAACGCGCGACAGCCACTCGATTTACCTGCAAGATCGTCGTGTTGAGCGTAATCTTGACATTTTGTCGGCGGCCGTTCGGCGCGAGGACTATCACGGATTTGTTTGCCGCCATGGTGATACGCTGAAATTTCAAGCGGTTCTAAGCGCGCGCGCATCGAACGACTCTGAGGATAACAGCTGATTCAAAGCATATGGCTCGCGCAGACATTCCGCACGCTTTCACTGGGTTCATGTGCAACTTCAAATCGATCGTCTACATGACGATTGATTCGCAAAGATTCGCGGCGAATGTCATATTATTGAATTTGTGCTGGAAAAAACGTTTTCATTTTCCATGGCAATCGAATAAAATAGATTTTGTACGCGTATTTCGTTTTCAAGATGGATTCGCAGTCAGTTCGTTAAAGCATATGCATAGAGAAATCGACCAACTAGAATTCCTAGATAACGTCATTAGCTGAGGTTAGTGAAGTTAGGACCGATTGTTTTAATTTCTCGGTAAACTACCTGACAATTAAATCTTATATCTGTTTTCGTTTTTCTCCAAATTAAACAGAGACAGACACGTAATTTAACTGTCATATAAGGGCGGGTTTTTTAATTCATCGATGGATCCATCGCATAGTGCGCAAGTGCAGTGAAACGTTATATTTGCGCATTATGCGATGGATCCATCGATGAATTAAAAAACTCGCCCTAGCTTACCAAGAAGTTGAAGCAATCGACTCCTTGTGGAAAACTAATATTTTCGAATGTTCTCAAGTTAGAATATATATCACAAGTTTACAATGCTAGAAGGAGAGATTCGTGATCAACTCCCTGCAGTTTTCACCCTCCGGACACTTGCTTTTCATGACAAGTCACGGTGTCCAATAGAAGAATTTGCTTTCTTCTATTTACCGTAGCAATTCTCAGTCACGGCCAACCTGCGCGTGCGACCAACATAAGTCGTCTACATTATGTATGCTCTGTTCTTTTTAGCTGCGCTGCTGAACTATTGCGATAAGTTAGAGTGAGAGAAAATACATTTGTTTTACTTTAATTTATTATGCTAGTTCAGCAATGTAGCTAAAAAGAACAGACCAATGCTCAGGCGCGCGAATACTAGCAAGACGGCGAGTGTCACGTCTGTCGTACTCTCCAACGAGGGGTCGTCGCCAACGCCGTTGCGCGAGCCAGTTAACGACGAATCGACGGACAAAAACAAAATGTTCACGACACGCTGCTGCGTGTTTACCAGCGGTGACCGCGTGTGCGTGGTGACGACGTGACGTGCTCGTTCATGCCTTGTTGTTCGCGTGCGCATCGTTCCGGTGGCCGTGAATGATCAGCCGTAAGATGATGATCGAGAAGCTGCTGCGGCGCTATGGCAGTGTCCTTTAACCGGTACCTGATCCTACCGGAGATCGAGAGAAGTGAGTCTGGTGCTGCCTCTGCCGCTGTCGCCGGACTGGATGGCGAAATACGCTCGTACACGAGCGAGAGCGTCGTTTCGAGAAGCTATTGCTCGACTATCGCTGGCACCACGACTGTTGCCGCCGTAACGCCGTTGACGGTGCCGTTGTGCGTGCTGGGCGACGTGCAGCTGCGTTTCCTCTGTCCCGATGACTTGGAAGAAGTGCGCTCGCTCTGTCAGGATTGGTTTCCAATAGGTGAGTTCGTAAACACTTTATCATGCGAACGATAACACATTCAACCTCTTCTCTTATCTCTTATAAAATCTCTTATAAAATCTCTTATATCTCTTATAAAAAACCATCTCTTCTTCAAAGTTTCCAAATTTTTGTCTGTTAAGTAGACATTTGAAATTTCCTTCTTGGAACATGTAATATCTTTCTCAGATACCTTATTGGGCATTGGCTAACAGATTAGTAAAGATTTGGCTCATATCGATGATGCTACAAATCCTTCATGATGTAATCGTGTTTTTTTCTGTTGGAACTAAATTGATAACAGATAACAGATTGTTCTTTGTAGCTGAATTAGTGTACACTGTTAGAACTTAAAAAGAAGCAGATGTATGGTTATGACTAGTTATAAAAAAGAAAGAAAAAGAATTGGTGCAAGCTAGTACAGCCAATTTAGCTGCAAAGAACAGACAAAAAACAAGAAGTTTAATGTTACTTGTAAAAACATCCATCAAATTGTTTAAGCTTTGTTTCAAATTGTTAAAGAATTTATTTCTGTTAATATCAAAAAGAATCCAAGGTGAACTGAAATATCAGTTTTGGTATCTTTTTGTTATTAACATTAATAGTTTTTGAATTTTTTCTGTCATTAGTATATGATCACAAAACAGACATAGGCAGACAAATCTCTTTGGTCTTGATTGTAATTGAATATTTCTTCTCACAGATTATCCTTACTCATGGTATGAAGACATTACAAGCTCCTCAAGGTTTTATGCACTTGCAGCAGTATATGGTGGTGTAATAATAGGATTGATCGTCGCAGAGATCAAGTCATACACCAAGCTGAACAAGGAGGATCGTGGCATTTTGTGTTCCAGTTTGGGCAAGGATTGTCTAATAGGCTATATACTTAGCTTGGGTGTGCGTCGCACGTACAGGAGGAATGGGATAGCTTCACTACTTCTGGAACAACTACTGGCCCATGTAACCGCTCCCGAGCGTTCCTCCGTTAAGGCAGTCTTCCTACATGTTCTCTCCAGTAATGTTCCCGCCATACTGTTTTATCAGAGGTGTCATTTTCGACTGCACAGCTTTCTTCCGTACTATTATTCGATTCGTGGCAAGTGTAAGGACGGCTTCACGTACGTCCTCTACGTGAACGGCGGCCACGCGCCGTGGGGCATCTGGGACTGGCTGCGTTACTTGGCCGGTGCGATGACCAACTTCGTGCCGTGTCGAGTGCCGCGTTGGATCTGGCAACGTCTTCTGTGGGCGAGCACTGTTCTGTCGTATCACAGATGATATATTTTGTGATTTCTTTTGTTCTTTTGTATATTTATTTCTTTCTTTGATTTCTAGAGGTGTTATACGTAAAGTGCCATAAACCGATTGCATCTATAGTAGGCTCGTGGTAGAGCTACTGTCTGCTCTGTTCGTAATCCGAGTCTACAATAAATGGTAGTAAGTCTGTTTAGTTTTATAGCTCTAAGGCCTAAAATTTCTAATAAAAAAGCGTTTTTCGCCCTGGCCAGTTGGAATCTGGCCAAATCGCTTAAAGCTTAGGGATTGTGACTTCGGATAACGAAAAACGTTTTTAGCTGAAAATTACAGTTTTGGGCTGAGAGCATAAGGCTAAAAGTTCACTACACCTATTATATTGATAGAGTCGGACGTATGATTTTCTTAAGTAATCTAAACGACCGCAATGTGACGTACCCGAAGTCAGGAACAGACATCGTGTCGATTGTCAATCTGTAGCGATATGAAGGAACATTTACAATTACATTTGTCTAAAATTCGGGAAGCAAGGCCTCAAAGTACTTTAGCGTGGCTACCGTTACCAAGGATCGTCAGAAAAATGGAGAACGTACCAGTACTATATAATAGCGCGTTAAGATACTCGACATACATAACTGCCAAAAATTATTAAGTTGACATAGTTTATACGTTAACGTTGAATTTTTCTTCCGTGATTTCTAACAGCCGAAATTATTGATAATTTAAATTTGACTAGCAGACTTTTTGATGTATTTTTATTTAACTTAGAGCGAGATCAAAGAGGATAATTTATCCCTGATATTTATAGAAATTTATATGTTGCATGTATATCGAAATAAGAGATGTATGCACAGAATGAAACGAGCAATATATTTTCGAGTCATAGAAATATGTTAAAAATCTTGTCATTTAAAGATAATGTTTTACTCGAACTGAATTTTATATTTGTTATCTGTTAAATAATGTTCATCGTAAATATTAAGTTTTGTGATATATATACACATTTACTTTAACGTTAAATTAAATTAAAATTAATTTTAATTTACTTTAACGTTAAATTAAATTAAAATTAATTTTAAAATTGGCGTATTTAAATGTCAACTAAAATTAACCTTGTAGGAACTTGTTATAACATTATTACATTCTACATAGTGTAATTTGGAGTAATCTACATACGAACTCTGATATAATTTGAACATAATATATTTTTCTCGTTTCATTTGGTGTATATCCATTGAAGAACATTTTAATATTTACCTTCACTGAACTGTGTGTTCTAGATAAAAATGCTTTTTTTCTTTTTTTTTATCCACATTAAAACGATTATATTTACGACGAAAGCGTCAAGGATAAATTCAAAAAGAAAAACCGTGTGCGAAAGTGAGATAAATGCGCATACAGAAGATATTTATATACATATAATGTAAATATAAATATAAATATAAATATATATATATATATATATATATATATATATATATATATATATATATATATATATATATATATATACACATATATATACAGGGTGAGCCATTTTAATCGACAGATCCAAATTGCTCCTAAAATACGCCAGCTACAAAAAAATGGTTAAGACAAGAATTGTAGAGGACAACGGGGGTCATTTTACCTTTTTTGCTAATAATTTTGATCTTCAGATCGATTTTCAAGGTCGTCATTCGAAGATCAGTCATTTTTTTAAATTAGAACCCCTATTTTTGACACCGGATTCGAAAAGAACAGAAAATTTTACGTTAAAAATATTTAGATTTTTTTTCTGAGTCCAAGAAGGTCAAATAAAAAATGATTAAAAACAACTTAGAAGCTGTTAATGTTACTTTTAAAGATTTTTATACATGACAAGTGTTTCGCGGTACTAACAAATACTAATAGAAGAAAAGTTGCGAAACGTTGTCATTCCATTTCCGAAATTGATGCGCAATAATCTCACTTTGATATGATTATTAATAAGGCGTAATAAATAAAATTTTAAAAGTAAAAACAAACACTTTTAAAGTATTGCCTTTAACAATTTTTCTTTTTTGAGTGCAGGGTAACTTGAAAATTTTTTTTTTAAATATGGCTGACTATCCTCCTAATGAAATTGTTGATATGATATTAGAGGAATGCATAATAATTACGATGCTGCGTCAAGGTTTTATGCTGAACGCTATCCAGAGAAGAGACATCCAAACAACACGACAATACGAAGATTAACTCAAAGAGCTCACAATGGACATCTTGTTCGGCAACGACGATGTCATGACGAAAATAAAAATCTAAATATCATTTTTAACGTAAAATTTTCTGCTCTTTTCAAATCCGGTGTAAAAAATAGGGGTTCTAATTAAAAAAATGACTTTGACCTTCGAATGACCTTGAAAATCGATCTGAAGGTCAAAATTATTAGCACGGTAAAATGACCTCCGTTGTCCTCTACAATTCTTGTCTTAACCATTTTTTTGTAGCTGACGTATTTCAGGAGCAATTTGGATCCGTCGATTAAAGTGGCTCACCCTGTATGTGTATATATATATATATATATATATACATAAATATAAAAATAGTTGTATATAATAGTGTATTGAGATTGTTTGTAATAAATTAACATGTTATAATTTATGTATAATTTTATTCGAGTCCGAACACATACTATGTTATACTATGTTATACATTAAAATCCTATTCTTTCTTTCTACTGATGTCTCCTGGAGGGAATCAGTGAGAATGTTTTGAATAGGACTTACATTTATGATCTTTTTGTAAGATATGTACAGGCTAATGTTGTCTAAATACTTATAGTTATGAGAAATGTATTTAGCAGGTTTTTGGTGAGTAAAAATATAAATTTAGATGTTTTTATAATAAACAAAAATATATTCATTTACTTATTTTTAACCATTACTATAGTTACAATAATATATTAATACGGATTATTTTACATATTATCTATATATATTATGATATATATAAACTATATACAATGAGAGAGATATATATAAAGTATATACAATGAGATATATACATTATGACAGTTTTCTAAAACATAAAAAAAATTGCAATACAATAAGTTATCCGTTCCAATTTGTGAACATTGTCATGATAAATTGAATACAATCTACTCTCGAAAAAGTCGAGAAAAAGAAATCTACTCTAATGACATTCATATGACAGGCCAAAATAATTCAAATTATAAATTTTATTTTTGAGGTTTCTTGAGCATTTCGACTAGCGTGCTCATATTCAATGTATTGTCCTGTGGCCAATTCCAAACAATACGTCCCTCAAATGCTTCCTTGAAACTCGCCTCAGCAGCACGCGGTCTACACCTTTCATACTCCTTCAAATTTCTTTCCGGATTGAATACATATGTGTAATTGGTCCTCTGACTGACATAACGGGTCCAAGGACGAGCCGTACTTCTTAAGAAGAGTACGCTGTTAAGTCCAAAATACAGTGGTTCAAGCCTATCGATGTCCTTGTCGCATTCCAACGTATTCTTTTGAATCTCGTAAGGAGTTGACATACTTTTCACACGACGTTGTGAAATTCGCAATTTCTTGTCCACGTTCGGATCGAACATATGGATCTCCTTGGGGCGCACGCAAACATAGTCGTGCGGCGTTGGCTTCCACAGGGCGTCGCAAAATTTCTTGATCAACTTATGCCTGTAATACAAGTGTCTCATTAAAATTATATTCACACATCTAACCTTAGAATCTTATATATGTACATACATAAATACATTTTTTATTATATTTTTTATATACATATATATTTTTATCTATAAAGATTTATTATCTACAAAGATGTTGCAAATTTAAATAAGATTACTCATATTATGTTCGACAATACAAATAGAAACAATGTCTTACCTGTGAGTTATATATCTCATGCTTACATCCTCGCCACCAAGCATATAAGCATCCAAGATGTGTAACGCACGAGACTTGGTGAAATATTTCCCCGTCCATTTCGACTCGTATACCAGTTCAGCGTATACGAGAGTGTTAGGCGGCAATTCCAATTTCACCTCTCCAATGGACTCCCATTTACTCTTTACATAACGATAAACTCTTCTCCTGCCCAAACCTAGATAAAACGTTGCCATTTTATCCTCATCAACGTATTGTCCGGAGCTGCAGGGTATCCAATACCAATCATATGGTTGATTCAATATTGTGGTACTTGCTATTTCCTTGGTCAGTTTCTGTGCGTCGTGCCCGATAAAGCCAGTAGTATCGTTCAACATCTCCCGCACCTGAAGTCAAAATAATCGACACAATTGCGTATTAAAAAATGTTATATAGTGTTAATAAGTTACATAGTGTTATATACATATAGTGTTAATAAGTTATATAGTGTTATATACATATAGTGTTAATAAGTTTTATTTCAACTAAAATTTAAAAAATTAACTATTTCTTTGTATGACTTGTCAACAGCAAAGTCTGAATGCTTGAACCGCGCATGCAAATATTATCTAAAATGAATAACTACAATAATTATTGTTGACTGTTTTCTTGTTAACGCTCTTAGAGAAAGAGTTCAAGGTAATAATAAACACATTTATGTATCTATGGATTTATCAATCTACGTACCTTATCTTGTGGCTTGACGTTGTATGGTCTCATACGACTTTTATCGGGCAAATCCCAATACTGCAGACACAACTTTCGCATCTCCGTCTGCTTTGGTTCATTCAATGATGGATCCTCGCAAAAAGCAGCAATTTTTAAGAGATTCACTATTTGTCTCTTTCCCAGCGTATCGTTAGACTCCCTCAAATATTTAATAAATGTCTCGTCCGCTTCCAACTCACTAAGCGGTACTAGATGGGTCACATCGTTTTCATCTTTCTTTGACAACTGTGACATCACAGCGTTAGTGTCCATCAAATAACTCATCACAACTTCCGTGTCTGCCTTCTTTCCCTTGCATATTAAGTAGCGTTCCGAATTAGCTGGTCTAGAAGAGTTGGGCTTAAAAATGCAGATACTGTCGAAACATCTGTACATCAAGTAGACTAGTCCGACGCTAAACGGCGTGAACAGATCAAATAACTTGGTCACAAAGTGTCCACCTGTTCTCACAATCATCAGCGCTATCAAACATTGAGCGAGATAGAGCTGCTTTGATAAGATCTCCTGGATATTCTCCTGGCCTTCCACGGAGAAACCTCCATCTGACATCATAAAATGTACTCCCTTGCCATTCGTATGTTTCATTATCAATTGTCTAAACTCTATCTGATTTTCCGAATCATACACATCACCATTGTCGTTGGATCCGTAAAAGGGATGGAAAGTCTCGCATGGTCCGGCGTAAAATTCATCCAACTTAAAGTCGTTCTCATTCTTCAAAGTGAATCCAAATCCCTTGGCGTGCCACTTCTTTCTTGACAAGATATACTCGCTAAAACCACCAGGACCCGCGCATACATCGGCGAAGTACAACAATTCGTCATTCAAATTTTCCCAGTCAGTGAACATAAAATTACATGCCTTATTTATGTTCGCCATTTTAACAGCTGCTCGATTCAAGAAACCTGCGGTACGAATCGTCTCGTAGGGATTCGAACGAGTTCTTGCCTTCCGCATTTCAATCTTGTTCAAAACATCAAACATAGTCTTTGAATTGATGAGTTGTGCCATCATCTCTGAATTGCAGAAAGTGGTCTCATCGTCTATGGTTTTCTTCTTAGGCCCTATTGTCATCCAATGTTGTTCGCGCATGATGTCATTTATCGTTAACGTACGCGGATGCCTGTTCTGCAACCATTCTATATCTTCGATGACTTCTATTACTTCATCCTGAGGATTCCATTTCAAGCTCGCTTCTTTAAGTTCTGGTGCGGAATGTCCAAATCCTCTTCGACCACGTTGCATAAACAATTCTATGGGCTCCACACGACCCTGGCCGTGCTTTCCAAGACCTGTTCCTGAGTGATATCCCATCTTTTCCATCATACGCTGAGTCTTATCAATATATGAGACACCACTGGTCTTACTTTCATTTTCATCTAGCTTTATTTTTTTGCTAGATTGAGATACACTTTCATCAGGATCGCTAGTACTCACTTGATTGTGAGTACTATCATCACAGTGCTGATCACACACATTGGTGTTGTCGTCGTCAGAAGAAGAAGAGATATATTCTTTATATTCCATTTTGCGTTTACTATAGTATACTGGCTCCGGAAGCGGAATGTAGCGAATAGGACCGATCGAATCAAGATGCGGTGGATGTTCATTAAATTCATCAATTCCAAGTACCTCAGTACCAAAAACTCTTTCGCTCTTTCGCTCTTTCGCTCTTTCGGTCATTCTTGAAGTCACTGTAATAATAAATTGTTTGTAAAGTTAGATTTAAATTCAGATTTAGAAAAAATATTATTATAGGATATTTCATATAGAGTCAAGGGAAATAAACACTGTGATAGTCGAAAAAAAAATAGCTCTTTTTAGTGAATTTTTTGTGAGGCCCATAAAGCAGATAGATAAATAATGTTTTTGTATTAATTGATGTATTGATTTAGTCATTTTTGAACCGTCGGAAAATATTTTTCTATTTGATGAAATACATTTTTATTTTGGTATAAAATGTGTCTATAATACTCTGCAAACTTCATCGGCTCTGCACTTGGAGTCCTTAAAAGTAATCTGAAATAAAAAACCCAAGATTTTTTTTAAGTATATAAATATAGTTTTAATTAAGCGTATGAAAATTTTAATATTTTAATTATTCGCAAAATAGCGCATATTTAAAAAAATGTTTGAAAATATAGTATCGTTTTTTAGGAGGAAATTTCAATCGTAAAAAAAATTCGTATGCTTAACTAAAACTACACATTCATATACTTTAAGAAAATCTTGGGTTTTTTTTTGCAGGTGACTTTTAAAGACAGGGTGCAGATGACTTTTAAAGACCAGGTGCAGGTACATTTATACCTGCTTTAAGGATTTCTACCTGCTTTAGGGGCTTCACAAAAAATTCGCTAAAAAGAGCTATTTTTTCAGCCGTTACAGTGTTTTTTATCTCCTTTAAATAATAGAAATAAAACATACATTAAAATTAGAAATATTCGAGTTATTTTGAAATATTTTATAAATTTATTCAAAATTATCTTTATATATTTACACACATATAGATATAAAAAAAATTAAATTAAAACTAAAGAAATGAAAAATTGAAAAAAAAAAAAGAAAAATACATACTGTTTTCTATCTGATTCTCCATTTTTTCTCTTGCTGGTTTTATATAAGCAAGCTTTCATCTAATTTTCCGAGATCACAATACAATATCCTGAAAATTAAAAAATAATTATAAAAATAATTGTTAAAAAGAAAACTAATAGTAAAACAGAATATGATGAAGATAAAAATAGTTATTTTACTAAATATGATAAAATATAATAATGATTTACAAATTTTTTGAAACACTTTAAAGATAAGAAAATACTTTAAAAAGGTCAGACTCGAAAGATTATGTAGGCCCACATGTGATACTGTTTTTCACATAAGCTACTAAAGGTTAAAAAATGAATATATAAGATAGTCAGTTACTCTTCAATTTACTTGTATCACAAAAATATCATAAAGAGACATAAACAATAATGGTATGCTTTAGCAATACATAAAAAAATATGAGATTGTCAAAGAATTTTCCAAATAAATTATAGTAGCAAACCTGTCAAAAGTTGCAACATTTTTTCTCAACAAGGTTTTGCAACGCATACTATATATATGTAATAGGAAGATTTATCTTCTGAGAATTACTAGAAACAAATTTTTCCACAAGATATATTGAAAAATTTGGTGAGAAAAGGTATTGCAGTCTTTAATATATGGTTTGTTCTTTGTAGCTGAACTTGCTACATAGTTTGCATTAGTTCTCTTTCTCTCATGTTTTACACTAAGTCACAGATATACACTTGTTTCTTTTTATGTGCTACAAGTGTGCACTAGTTTAGCTACAAATAACACTCATGTGTTTTGGTTTCTGTAACAACATGTTTGAGCCTGTTTGGATATGATTTGCGATTATTATTTTTTTTTAAGAATATCTTGGAATTATTCCTAAGGAACATTTAAAAATAGGAAAAAGATTTAACAAAAAATAATTTATACAGAAAAGATACTAGAGGAAGAATACAGTGAGTGCTTTCCATTTAATGACACAAGTCGACAACCATCATTCTTTGTTCCATATTCAATGAGTAACTAAGATAGGATGATGTTTGTCGATTTGTGTTATTTAATGGAAAGCACCCAGTATGTCAAATATAGTCATAAATATTTTTGGGCCACGTTTGCTACCAACATTACATATGTGCGATGGATTATTTTATATTCACATATAAAATAACCATGTTTTACACAATGAAAAATATTATTATAGGATATTTCATATAGAGTCAAGGGAAATAAACACTGTGATAGTCGAAAAAAAATAGCTCTTTTTAGTGAGGCCCATAAAGCAGATAGATAAATAATGTTTTTGTATTAATTGATGTATTGATTTAGTCATTTTTGAACCGTCGGAAAATATTTTTCTATTTGATGAAATACATTTTTATTTTGGTATAAAATGTGTCTATAATACTCTGCAAACTTCATCGGCTCTGCACCTGGAGTCCTTAAAAGTAATCTGAAATAAAAAACCCAAGATTTTTTTTAAGTATATAAATATAGTTTTAATTAAGCGTATGAAAATTTTAATATTTTAATTATTCGCAAAATAGCGCATATTTAAAAAAATGTTTGAAAATATAGTATCGTTTTTTAGGAGGAAATTTCAATCGTAAAAAAAAATTCGTATTTTTAACTGAACATTCATATACTTTAAGAAAATCTTGGGTTTTTTTTTGCAGATGACTTTTAAAGACACCAGGTGCAGGTACATTTATACCTGCTTTAAGGATTTCTACCTGCTTTAGGGGTTACACAAAAAATTCGTTAAAAAGAGCTATTTTTTCAGCCGTTACAGTGTTTTTTATCTCCTTTAAATAATAGAAATAAAACATACATTAAAATTAGAAATATTCGAGTTATTTTGAAATATTTTATAAATTTATTTAAAATTATCTTTATATATTTACACACATATAGATATAAAAAAAATTAAATTAAAACTAAAGAAATGAAAAATTGAAAAAAAAAAGAACAAAAGTAGAGAAAGCTGCTTTGTAACAGTTGTAAAATTCGTTTTCTTATTGCTATGTGCTTTAAAATTTGGTTGAATCTAATAAAATCTACTAATCAGATTCAGAAATTTTACAATAGTTGCAAAGCAGTTTTCTCTGCTGAACGCAGCCAATTATATGAAAATAAATGTGATGTGGTCTGTGGAGTAAATTCTCCACATAAATCGTGTTAGCGAACGTGTTAAATACCTGACAATATTTGTATTATTGTAGTTTTCCATAAAAAAATCTTTGTTACATTCTAAGAAAATAAATCCACGTAATAAATTTGTTCATCTATAAATTTTGTAATAATTCTTAAAATATATTCTATAATTATGGTTATTTACGCGACATGTATAACAGATTCCCTAACCTCAAAACGTTAAACATTTATATTCTTTGACTAATATTGAATATAATTAATCAAGTCAGTGAGTCTCCTATGTTCTTTTATATTATCAGCAACTTACTTACCGCAAAATAAATATGCTTCTTACGTCAGCAATTCTTAGATTTCTGCGTCGTAACAGCACGTAGTTCTAGTAATAGCAATTGTCTCAAACACACCTAACACGCTGGGTAGTCAATTAGCGACTGGCAAGGAGCTGAGATGCGAGCGCAGCAACTCGCTAGAATCACCCCTTTTGCACATGCGCACTAGAGACTAGTGACAGAATCGTTTCTCATTGGTTTATACATCATCTTAAAATCATCTTTAGATGACATTTAGCCAATCAGAAGTTTCTTACAAGAAACCAACTGTCTCTTCACATTTTGCTGAATTAAAACGAATCCACAGATGTCTCTACTAAACTAGATTACTAACCAAGCACAGAGATGCGTTCAGATTCCCTACCCGGGTGCACTCTAGTACTAGAAGTGCTATAGTATATGTGACATACACTATGGTTGCGTTCCGTTTCACGCATTATGCGCGCATTGCCTACAATATACGTAACATGAACTATAGATAAATGCGCGCATATGCGTGAAACGGAACGTAACCTATAATGTTTCTAGTAATAGAGTGGATGAGGAATCTGAACGCAGCTCAGATATCTATACTAAACTAGATTGCTAACAGGGGCTCGATTCTTGACGGTATGCGAATGAGATACGCATGCGAAAATGTATAGTTCACGTTACATATACTGTAGATTTTCGCATAGGTATCTCATTCGCACACCGTCAAGAATCAGACCCCTGGTTATCTAAAAGCATATAAAACCGGAATCAAACTACGCATTGGAGATTAAGGGTCGCGGATTGAAGATTGTTATTTGACCAGTTGGAGCAAAGCAAACCAAAACAGAAGTTCGTTGATTCGTCAAAATTTAATCTTCAGTCCACAATTCTCAATCTCCAATACGTAGTCTGATTTCGACTTAACGGCTTGCGTCCAATAGAGTTTCGGTGCATGCGAGAAAATGGCCGCTACCGCCACATATTTTCACTACGTTTAGTCATAAAATTCTTTTGTTTAAAATGAGCAGAGCAAATAACGTTCAATATCATTTATTTTTTTTGTTACATTTGATGCAATAAGATGCTGGCATTTTTGGTTTTACGGCAGAAATTTAATGGCCACAATAACTCACATTATACGTTGTAAGTATTCACACAAGTGAGGGCCAAAGGATCGATTGTGTATCTCGTATCGGAGTGAAAATGACAAAAGTGAGCAAATTCACTAAGCATTGACCAATAAAGTTACAAATATTCTAGTAAATTTGCTCACTTTTGTCATTTTCATTCCGTTTTAAGATACACAATCGACCACCTGAGCATAAAGTTTAGCGCAATCATGATGTAAATATAAAGGTGTACCATTGCGCATGATGACGCATAATGATGATCACGCGTTGTAATGTAATGTGTAGTGAACCAGTTAGAAATGAGCAAGAATGCAACCCGATTCAAATGTCCAAAATTAATCGTACATTACTAATATGTATTTAAACTTAAAATCTGTAATATATATATATACTACTGTGTCAAAAAAGTAAGACCAGTTTTTATTTATTTCAAAAAATATTTATTTATTCTTCCAAATCTATTTCGTCGCCTTCAAAGTAATCCCCTCCCGACACAATACACTTATGCCAACGTATTTTCCAGTCCTCGAAACAAGAATTAAAGTCGCCTTCCGGGATAACTTTCAGAGCGCGTAGCGATTTACATTGTATCACTTCTATCGTTTCAAAACGATTTTCCCGCAGTGATCTTTTGAGTTTCGGGAATAGCCAGAAATCACACGGTGCTAAATCAGGCGAATATGGTGGTTGTGGAACAATATGGATCAAATTTTTGGCGAAAAAGTCACGAAGAACGAGTGCAGTGTGAGAAGGTGCATTATCGTGATGCAAAAACCAAGAATTGTCTGCCCACAATTCTGGCCTCTTCTTGCGAATAGCTTCACGCAAACGACGCATAACGCTCAAAAAATACTCTTTGTTGACGGTTTGGCCGGGTGGAAGGAATTCTGAATGGACAACATCACGATAATCGATGAAAACTATCAACATGACCTTGATTTTCGATCGACTTTGGCGCGATCTTTTCGGTTTGGCTTCACCTTTTGCACGATATTCACTGGATTGGTCGGTGGTTTTCGGGTCGTAAGCATAAATCGAGATTTTATACGTTTCAGGCCCAAGATATCTTTCAAAATGGTATTGGCAGATCCTTTTGAAATACCAACAGCATCAGCAAGGTCTCTAACAGTCATTCGACGATTAGCAAGCACAAGTTCTTCGATTTTCTTGACGTGTTGTTCATCGGTAGGGGTGTATATCAGTTGGACACGGGGCAATTGGACATAGTCCAATCACAAGTCGCTGTTCCAAGGGACCCTACAAATGTCTCTAATCACACGGTGCTGTGATTGGCTGTGTCCAAATGCACCGTGTCCAAGTGCACCGCTCTCCATCGGTTGATGGTCGTCCGGAACGCTCTTCGTCTTCAACACTTTCACGACCTTCTTTGAACTGTTTATACCACTTGTAAACATTCCTTTCTGACAAAGCATGGTCCCCGAAGGCTTTCTGCAACATCCTGAACGTTTCTGCACCCGAAATTTCATTCCGCAAACAAAATTTAATGCAACTTCTTTGCTCAATATAATTAGACATTGTAAAAATCGCCGAATGCACTTTTAGCGTCGTACAAAACCAAGCGTAAAGCAAAAAGTAATGAATGTTTTGACATGAAATTTGTCACAGATGTCTGTCACAATGCTGCCAACTTAGAAAAAAAATATTTATGATGTGCGGTTTACCCGCGCGATTTAAATTGAAAACTGGTCTTACTTTTTGGACACAGTAGTATATATACTACTGTTAGCAATATAGTAGTATATATACTACTGTTAGCAATATAGTAGTATGTAATACTACTATATTGCTAAATAATGGGTGTTTCCGAAATGTCCAGGGTAAGGTCAAGTTGAGTTAGTTCCACTACAATATCCATTACATATACTATATGTGGAACTAACTCAACTCGACCCAACTCTGGATATTTCGGAAGCACCTAATAGCATGTTCGATTGGCTCTGGATTAACACACTCTGGGTTATTCAGCATACGTTTATTGGTCGAATAAGTATTTATAAGCTTTATGATTGGCTAGTAGAGATTTATGACGTCATTAATCGTTCTCGGAGCGATTAACCCAGGGCCAGTCGAACACGCTATAAGGGCCATCACACACAAAATTATATAGACGCATATGCATAGCATAAAATCGTATGGACCAATGAGCATCGAATATTAAGTCGCCATATTGATCATTGATGTTTAATATTCGATGTTCATTGGTCCATACGATCTTATGCTATGCATATGCGCTATGTAATTTTGTGTGTGATGGCCTTAAGAGAAAAGTCCGGCCCCAGAACCACGGTACGGGAATATGTATTTCTCTCTCTTTCTGAATGTATTGTGAACATTATGCGTCAGATAGATCGTATCCGCCAATGGGAAAATAAATTATATTGTACAAAGTTGCATGTAATAGGTTATACTATATGCTATAACATGAGTACCCGGAGATGCTATTTATGCGAAAAAAAGCAGCTGTAAATAAAAATATTAGTTTAAATTAGCAGTCTAATAGTATATAGGGTTGCGTCCCAAAATTCTACTCGGTGGGTAAAATACATTTAATTGACCAATCATGATAAAGATATCCTAGTTATCTTTGTTTTTATTGGTCAATTAAATGCTACTTATAGTTCAGCCTAGTTTTACTGGTGAGAGGCGTCGCGATCATTGGCTGCGTTCAACAGAGAAAGCTGCTTTGCAACTGTTGTAAAATTTATGAATTGATTGGCACTCTTTTGGATTCAATCAAAACTAAAAGCATTTAATTACGATT